ACTACTACTACTACTACTACTACTACTACTACTACTACTACTACTACTACTACTACTACTACTACTACTACTACTACTACTACTACTACTACTGTTCGACTTTTGACTCGACTCGACTCGACTCTATCGGACTCTCTAAACTCGAGATTTGATGCGATGCCTTGCGATCAAACGAGTCAGCGATGCGCACATGTACTCGCGGCGTGCGTACCGCGTGCACCTACGGCCTTTAGGCGTACAGGATATCATAGCTCCTAGCTGTACCGGTATACGTAGGTATACGGCCGGCATCCACCGCTGCAGGACTGCGCCGACCGCCGAGCATGAAGCGAACGGCGTTGAGCCAGCAGCAACAGCCGCCCAGGCCGAGTTGAGCCATGCATGAAAGCTTTTCACCTTTTGACTTGAACAATCACGAGTACTCGATCGATCGAGCGATGAATTGTGCGCCCGCCATGCATGTTCCATATCGGTGCAGCTCATCCAAGTTCCCTCCAATTCCACACTTACGACTCTGAATCAGTAATTCAAATCTGCGCGATCGGAGCAAAGAGGGGAAGAGGGGGGGGGGGGGCAAGGATTCTTGACTCGGAACCTGTCGTCCTCCATCACCGAGCATCTTTGATGAAAGTTTTGGTGACCAACTTTCGAGATCCTTGTCGCATGGCTTGTGAATTCGGCAAGCAGAGAAGTCCAAGTGCGGTCACTTGAAGCTCACACTGACTACAGTACTGGAGAGAAGGGCAACGTAGGCTACACATTCACATTGGCTTTGATTCATCCTGACGGACTCATTCGAGAGCGGAGTGGATGCTGCGCGCGCGTCAAGCAAGACGAAAAGAAACCTTGAATGCCGCGCCTGCCCCACCCCTTGACCCAAACACGGGTTCAGCAGCAGCAGCAGCAGCAGCAGCAGCAGCAGCAGCAGCAGCAGCGATGAGTGAAGGAGCCTGAAAGGCCAAAGAGCTCAAGTCGTTTGAATGAAAGTGGCCCCAACAGAACAAGAACCTCAATCCCATGACAGCTCTGCCCGAACTTGCATCACTACACACCACCACCCACCACCCATCACCCATCACCCCCCATTCACGATTCTGAATGATCGTGATTGCCCGCCCATCCTCTTTTTCGAACGCTTTTCTTGAGCGCGGGCCCCGCCAGCCAGCCTGGGGGCTCGTGAATGCGAAAGCTGCAGTAGCGCCATGCAGGGTCGGGCCTACAGTCACTGAGTGCTACTTATGAAGCCCTACTCAGACTGCTGCTGCATGCAGACGCTGCATGGCTTGGGGGCCTTGTCAAAACAGCTCTCGGGCATGGCGAGGAAAGGCGGAGAAGAAGGAGAGAGGTGGAGGCATGGGCATAGGCATAGGCATAGGCATAGGCATAGGCAGGCAAATTCGTGAATGCCACATTCAATTCGCACGGATCGAGGTCCATGCTGCATCCAGCAGCAGCAGCTCGCGCGGCAAAACCTGTCAAGTCCGCGCAATAAGCCGCCTGCATCAGCCAAAATAGCTACATGCTGTATATAGCTGAGCGTGGCTGCAGCATACACACATGCATGCTTCAGCGGAGTCAGATGGATCGAAATGAATTATAGATTCGCAACCTCGACTTGTAAGCTTGACGCCGTGCTTCTGGCGACACTTTTAAACCTGCGCTTCGCTGATCCCGTGCATGCGCGTGCTCTAGGCTCCGCCTTGATATGTTCCTTTCCAGAACACTCTTCGAGGCTATCCTTTTTTTTTTTGCCTTTTGCTCCCTCGACACCGCGATCGAGTTGGAGCTTCCCAGCAATTCAGCAGGTGCGCGGAAGAATGCGAATGCGAATGCGAATGCTCACTCGAGAATCACAATGTGCACGGGAGCAATCGCACAACAAGCGGCACTCAGCACGCGTTTGGAGGAGCGCTCCTGCTCATTCGTATTTTAACCCTCTTCTTTGCAAAGGTGGTCGGCGCCATGTGCCGCATAGCGTACGCGTGTTCTGCTGCAGCAGCCCTTTCGCCACGACAGATTGAGAGTCACTCGATCGTGACAGTCTGTCTAATCGTGCAGTCGCACTTCGAAGCTTTTCGCGCCTAGAGGGCAGTAGTCAAGCGCATATGTGTCGGCGGCGTCGAGATCACTCGAGGAGCGACGGGCTTTTTTTGTGTGTCTGTGCAGCCACCTGAATGAAGATTCACGACTCGGGGGTGGAGTTTGTGACCATGCTGTTGCTGCCATAGATCAATATCCAGGTCACCCCGGCGCGCTATCGCCAGCCACGAGGACCGTGACGAACATGTGTGCGTGTATGTGAGAGAGAGATGATGACCGCGTTGCTCACCAGCAGGCCGCTTTAAGCGCGGATTCTGCCGCCCCCTGCGTGAGGGTCTCGGCTGTCGATGCAATCACACTCACTGCTCTGACAGCTGATCACACAGTCATGAGTAACGTTCATCAACAAGCGCATCACACATACTCTGTTTTGGCTCGCTTTAGGCCCCTTCAGCAGACTCAAGACTCGGCATTTTGTCCTTCTTCAGCTATATATAGTACCCCGCCATACCATGATAATAAATGGGTTCCTTGTTCCTCCTGAGCCGCGGCCTAGGTCTCGCGCTTACACCCATGCATGCAGCACATAGACGAGACGCCTGCCTGCTCACCGTATCCGCGCGGGCCCACGGCGCAATCGAGCCGCTGCTGGTGACGCGCCCACATTAATTTGTCACTCACTTAATCGTTGCAACCAGCCCTGCTGCTGAGATTGAATTTTCCCGACCCGGCGGCCGCTCGTCTATGCGTGGTCACAACCCGGCGCGCAGTGCGGCAGTCTGTCGTCAGACGCCATGGTCGCGCAGCGACTGCTGGATCGTATCTGCATGTACACTGTACCGTAGGGCCCTTGCGCGGCAAAGTCGACGTGAAGAGGTACGTACGTGCCGCGCGTGGGCGCATTTGGAAACAAACTTCTTGCTGCTGCTGCTGCTGCACGTTGCTGCGCGAATGCGCGGCGCATACCCGCCAGCTCTGAAGCAGCAGCATGCGGCATAGATGCCGCCCCTGTTGACTAGCAATTGCTGGTGGTTGCGGTCTACATATGCAATCTCGCGAGAATGAACGGGTGGGCTGAAGGTACCGCTTTGCCTCGTATGTATTGAGCCAGGGCGGAAGACGACGACGGCGTCATTCGATTGAACACATGATGCAGACGTCAACTCAGCTTCAGGTGTTCACGGTTCGCTTGCATGAGTTTCCACAAGCAGCACGTTGCGCTGCTGAGGCGCATTCACGACTCTGGCGCTCTATATTCAGAATGCGACGTTGATTTGCACCGCAGCAGGTGTGCTTGTATTTAGGCCCTTCGTTCGACCAACCGAGTGAGCAAGCAGCAAGCACGCATATACACAGAGGAGATCGAGAGAGGGAAGCCAGCCCATCCATCCATCCACCTGCCTGCCTGCCTGCCTGCTTGCTTCGCTGGGCTCGCCGTGCTGTCCCTTGGTTGTCTCGACGCGTAGCTGAAACTCCTAACATCAACTCTGGTTCATGCAAGCAGCGCACAAGCCCCGAACTCGCTCGGTCGGTCCCCTCTCTGCATGAATCCCATGCACGCTTGACCAGTGTGCCCAAAACGTACCACTGTCGCTATACACCCTCGGCCGGCATCCTCGCTGTGAGTGGCTAGCTTCTCACGCATCAGGGCTCTCGACCCGTTCGTTGCCTGCTTCGCAAATCCAGTGGATATCGTTTGGCGCTCGTCCGCACCACTCGACCTCCCCCTCTACCAGGACACTCACCGCATTCTAACATCTCCCTGCACCACCCACACACCACGCTCATTTCACCACCCATGCTGGTCGACTAGTCTCTGCACCTCCAAGGCAACAACAACGGCACGAAGACTCTCAAAAAAGAGACGACTTTGTCCGACCTTTGAAGAAGTCAGACAGACCCCTTGCCAACGTCAGAGCATCCCTATCAAGAAGGTCGCCATACGCCGAATTCCAAGACGCTTCCTTGCCGTTGTTTCGCGTGCACACATAGAGCCCAAGATGGTCTCGAGGGAAGTCTTGTCCCTCGAGGAGCACATCAGGAGCGCATCACAGCAGGCTCAATTGGGCAGCAGGGCAACTCGACCTGAGCGAGGAGCGAATCTGAGCGAAGTGGAGGAAGAGAGCGCGAGTAGGGCAGTATCGCCAGAGGTTGAACAAGATGGAGGCCTGGGTATCAGCACAGGCGAGTCTAGCGACGCTCTGCCGGAAGTCGCGAGCAACACTTTGGATTCCAGCTTCACACCTTCTGGTAGCGCGGTCAATTCTTTGCATGGCAGCTCCGAGCATGGCGGTTGGGTCACCAACAGCTTGAGCCCTGTCAACAATAGGACAGCCAGCGGTGCGAGGGTGAGTCGATCGATGCTGCTGCTAGAGTCGCACAGTTGGGCGCTGACGGACGTGCTGATTGACACGCGGTTCGTCTTGCTTGCAGAGGGCATCGTCGGCGTATAGCGTCCCTCGTTGGAACAACTCACCACACAGCGGACCACCTTCTACTGCCTGCTCACCTCGTAGCGATGAGGACTTGCCCAAATCCCTGCGCTGGTCCACAGCGTATGGCTCTGTAGCATCATCGAGAAGCGGCGTGCGACACCGGAGCACCCTCTCAAAAGATGCGGGTGCGACCGCACTGTACATCTTGCCCGCATCAGAATCCTTCTGGGCGGATTGCAAGATGGAAGCTGAGCCGGACGATGTGCTTCACGACCCGACGTTGGATCCGGTCGGAGTCGACGGTAGCGGGGTCGTGTCGACGCGTCGGGCCATCTTGAACCTCGGTACGATCGCGATCCTTGGCATGGGACTCTTGCTGCTGTTTGCGGGCTACCCGATCATCGCGTACGTCACCGGTGATCACGAGTCCACCAAAGGCGCGTTCAATCTTGGCGGCACCAATTCCAGCGGGCAGGTCAGTTCGCTCGCTTCCGACTTTCCTGGATGGAAGACAGGCTCGACCGGTCTCATCGATCCCGACACGCCAAAGGATGCATATACCCGCAAAGGTCTGGACGGTGTGACCGACTTTGACCTCGTCTTTTCCGACGAATTTGAGGTGGAAGGACGATCCTTTTATCCGGGCGACGATCCCTTTTGGGAGGCCGTCGATCTGCACTACTGGGCCACGAACAACTACGAGTGGTATGATCCTGCAGCCGTGACCACCCGCAATGGAGCTTTGGAAATCACGTTGGATCAGTACGTCGAGCACAACCTCAATTTCCGCGGCGGCATGCTGCAATCGTGGAACAAGTTCTGCTTTACTGGTGGTTTCGTCGTCGCCTCCGTTCGTCTTCCGGGCACCGCAGACGTCGCAGGTCTTTGGCCTGCCATGTGGACCATGGGCAACCTCGGCAGAGCAGGGTACGGTTCGACGCTGGAAGGTACATGGCCCTACTCGTACGATGCGTGCGACGTGGGCACGCTGCAGAATCAGACGACATTCGATGGTCAACCCGAAATGGCGGTGACGGGTGGTGATGTGCTGTTCAACAGGAAACACAATTCGAACGCGTTGAGTTTCCTGACCGGACAGAAATTGTCGGCGTGCACGTGTCCCGACGACGATCATCCGGGCCCAAAGAACAAGGACGGGTCTTGGGTCGGTAGGTCGGCACCGGAAATCGATGTTTTCGAAGCGCAGAGCACGGGCAGGAAGATGACGCTCTCTCAGAGCGCACAGGTGAGTGGTTCTTGTCTGGCATATGAGAATGCATCAAGTTTTGAATTGACGAGCTACCGTATCGACGCTTCAGATTGCTCCTTTCAACTACAAGTACAAGCCGTACAATACGACGGAGCCTGCCTACACCATTTACGACCCTTTGCGCACCATCGAAAACACTTACACTGGTGAGCTGATGCAGCAAGCCATGTCGGCTGTCACCGACGCGAATCAAGCAGCAATGCAGCGAGGCGGTGATGGAGGGTTCTCCGAGTACGGTTTCGAATATCAGCCTGGGCACGGTGGCTACATCGAGTGGGTCTCGGACGGCAAGCCTGCCTGGCGCGTCAATCCCGCTGCGATGAGCGCAGACCCTCGAGTGGGCATTGCCGAAAGGCCCATCCCCAACGAGCCAATGTACATCATCTTCAACGTCGGAGTCTCGAAGAACTTTGGTGCGGTGGATTGGGACAACCTCCAGTGGCCAGCCACGATGGCGGTCGAGTGGGTCCGCGTCTACCAACCAAAGGGTCAGATCAACGTTGGATGCTCGCCAGAGAGCATGCCCACTGCCGACTACATAAACCGTCACTTGGAAGCATACAACAATCCCAACCTGACGCTGTGGGGCAATACGCCAGAGGAAGGTGGCTACGGAGCTAATTGGCCTCGCAACAGGCTCAATCCGAACGGTTGCAACGCCCAGGCTTCCATTTTCCCTGGCTCGCCTACAAATCCCAAGCCAAAGGCTCCTCACCTCAGAGAAGACCAGATCGCCGAGGGCGAGTCTTTTTAGAGGGCCGAGAAAGCTTTGCACTCGACTCCTGATTTGGTCGGCATGCTTGTCAGTCGGCTTCTTCTGGCATCTGGCCTCCATGCCCATCGTATTGGTCCACATCCCAGCATCTTGCGCTCATCATTCGAACCGGACACGTCACCAGTACTGCACTCGGACCTTGGCTCCTCATTTGTCACATTTAAAGACACCAACACGCACACTTCCCTCTCTCCCGAATTCTTCGGTAGATAATTTCCCTGGTCGCCCGCCGCAATACAGTGGCACAGCACGCGTCAAGCATCCCATCGCTTGGACCAGCCGTCCAGACCTTCTCGCTCTCTAGCTCTCTTCCCTTTCGTCCGCGCTCGCTTGCGCCAGCTATCAGCCTTCAGGCTTGGCCCCCCTTGAAAACATTTCAAGATCTTTTCCAAGCAGCGCAATTGCACCATACGTCCCCTACACGCCACGTCCCTTTTCTCTCTCTCTCTTTGATCACGCTCTTTCCCTCTGACTCGTCAAGAAGCTGCACGCGGTCGAAGCCCGCGCGCATGTCTCTCTCCCTGTCCTCTGTCCTTTACTTTTGCGTCCCTGTGCATGTTTCCCTACACACACTATACATCCGCGAGCTTCGAGAGCAACCAAGAGAAGGTCTCCTGGTCTACAAGGACGTCAAATAGAATTTGACCCATCATTAGAGTTGCTCGGTAGTGAGCACCCAAGCAACGGGCGGTGCGTTGTGACCGTTCCCGCTCGACGAGAGGCAATTAGGAGGGGAAGTGCTGGAACAGAGGTCTAGCCTAGCTGCATCGAATGTCCGGAGCTTGCCCATCGGAGCCAAGAGAATCCGCTCGGGGTCGCCCGCTGGTTCATCTTTGTCGCTTGCCGATCTGGTCCTCGACGGTCTCGGCTCAAGCAGGAGGGCCGGGCCTACCCCTTTTCGCCTGCGCACGCGCACCCATGCGCGCGCGTCGGAGATCCAAAGGAGGGGAGATCAATGCACGCGCGGGAAGGTGTGGCTGGCGCGCTTTCGCTCGCTGATCCGGAAAAAAAAGAGGCGTCCCCTTCTCTCGAGAGAGAGACCATGCACCACACCGTACGTGTGTGCATTCGTGATTTTGCCCACTTTGGGATTCCAGTCGGTCCGACAGAGCGTTGTTCTGTCTGACTTTCGCTGGTGATGGGCAGGGAGGGCGCTTGGTGGGCGAGCCGGTGAGCTGGACTCCCGACTATGGGGTCCTGAAGCAGAGAGACACTGCTATTGTGACCCTGTATGCCGAGATCGACGCTGCTTGGCCATGCGGAAGCGGGATGGATGATGCAAAAGGGGGTACAAAATGTAGGCATTTGGGATTCCCTGGCCCCACCCCCCTTTTTACCCCAACTTGATGCCACATCCTGCCTACATCTCCACTCAGCGTGACGTTAGCGAGGTCGACTTGTACTCCTCCCTTCTACACCGACTGCCAGAGCCCGCTGCTTTTTGATTCAATACGCCAAACATCATGGTCGCCATCGATCGAGCAAAGCTTGCTGCAGTGGCTGCGGCCGCCGTCAGACTGGCCAGCCTGAACGGTACGGAGCAAAACCTAGAAAAGCGGCTTGATCGAGGATGGCAGCCATCGTACGTGTTGGACGCTGCAATCGGCTCGACGTGCAGGTACAACGGGATCAATCTCGACAATCCCTTTCGCGATCTATTTTCCAACCCCAAGGATGCCAAAGAAGGTGACCCTACAAATGCGTGTGGTCCGCTAGCATTCAACTTTTGGCAAGAGACATCGCCGGATCAGGATAATTATGGCTCGGAGCGCGTCGCTGCTCTGGCAGAGGAGGGCCAGAGACAGAGATCTGCTGTGGATTGCGATCGAGGAACTGCTGGTACCGGCCCAGAAAATCAAGTGCTGGCTTTGGGCGGTAGTGAGTGGGACTTTCGATCTGCTTACAACTCTTCTCATCATCCTCCCCACATCTTTTGTCGATGCTGATTCAAGATTCCCATGTTGTCTCGCACAGTCGGCTTTTATGGAACGGATGGGTCAAAGTCCATTCGAATACTTGGTCGAGCTGCCTCGCTTGATACTGAATTGAATACGGTGCACTACATCAAGCCTCAAGAGACGCTGTACGAGTTGCCTTACCCCACCTCTCGAAGCGCATGCAGCAGTGAGTCAATGTTAGCCCTAAGAAATCTGTTTCAAGTACGCCCATTGCTGAATGTCCGTTCAAACCTTGTGCTGCGCTCGCTGCATTCACAGCCTCGGACACGTTGTTCCCATCGCCTGCTCCAAGTGAGTGGTAGCGCGAGGAATGTGGACGTGGGGGGATTTTGCAAACCTCTGCTTATCCTGATGACCTCTCTTCTTTCCACTCGCCAGCCTCTCCATCCACGACTATACAGCCACCGACCAGCGGTCCGACGCCGGCCCCATCCAAGCGCGTGTGCAGCGCGCACAATCTCTACAAGTCCTTCTACAAAAAGAATGGCAGGTTGGATCTGGACGCCTCGATCGCGTACGTCAAGAAGATTTACGCACAAAAGGCTTTCGGCAAGAGCGTGCGGGATCAAATGTTGAGCGTGATCAGGTCCAAGAGGAGCGACGAGGTGAAGGTGAAGGAGCTGGAAAGGTTGGCTGTGCAGGCCGGAGACAAGGTGTACAAGCACGAGTACAGCTTCAAAGTGTGCTGGAGCGTTCCCGCTTAGTCCCAACCCTAACCCCCCCCACTCTTTTCTTCTGCGCGCCAAATTTCCCAACCTTTCCTAGTGTTCCCCCCCCCCTTTCCCTTCCGCTCCTCTATCGCGCGCCCTTGCTTTGTCCCAATGGAAACTCGAAAAGGCGAGAAAGTTACCCCATTTCCACCTCGCATCTCTGCGCTCGCTAGCGATAAAATGTCACGCAACTTCTTGCTCTCGTCACCGCAATTCCCATTCCCCACCCTCCCGCATCTCAATTTCGCAATCCGCAATTTTCTGTAAGCCCAAGCCTCGTGCTGATATTGTGAGAGAGGGGAGGGGGGGGGGG